AGAATCCCAGGATACAATAGTTTTAATTTTTATGTTACCTAAAATACTTCCAGCAACATCAATGGAAGCCAAGCAATTCTCTTGGCATGCTGGCAGAGCACCACCAATAGTACAGTGGTCTGGTAAAAGGTCAACAAAAAGAATTCCTATGAGTAAAATACTTGCCTCTGTCATTTCAAACTTTTTGATCAAAATCATCAGAGGTGACACAAAGTCCCTTATGACACAAAAGAGTCGATCAAAAGTGTTCCGAAGAATCCACCACTTCAAAGTCCATGCACGAATTTTGGTTACAAGTCCCAAAAGTGTGTCCAACAAATATCTCATCATCAAAATTGTAGATGATGTACAATTAGAATTGCAATCTAATTTTTCAAAAGTATAACATTTAGCCCGCCATATACCATGGACAAAGCTGCTCAAGTACATTTCCTTGCAAATCATAATGCATGGATAAAATTTATCTCCTGACAAAGAACCATTGAATTCCTCACTAAAACCAGCATAGACATAGGGAGTCAAAGATTCACACCAAAAGGGAATCTCGTCAATGAGAGATTGGCATTGCACAGCTAATGGGGCAAAGTTGTCCTGCATTAGTATTGCTAAGTAGTGAAGTGTATGGACAATTATCTTAACATGGTGAAGAACATGATGATTGGACTCTAACATGGAAGAAGCCATAGTAGTCCTCAGGTCCCAATCAAAAAATTCACAGCAATCCAAAGTTGAAGCATGGATTGTCAGACTGAGTTCCTCATGGGGTAAAACCTGGATCTCTGGGAGCAAGACAAATAGGCATGTGTTGTAGTTAAGGCCAGCAGTGACATTGCAGAATGTCAATTTGCACCAAATAAATTGCATGAGGTATGGTTCATATCTCCTCTCATTCATTTCATCAAACATTTGGGTTGTACTCTCAACAACTCCAAATCCTTCAATTTCTCTAACAGCTTCAAACCTTGGGTTCATTGGACCTTTGCTTTTGGTGGCATAACGAGAAGAAAACAGATTTGAAGCTGAGGAATGCATGAAAAACTTTCTATCACTAGGTAAAGGTTCGTTGGGCTCGCCGACCATCTTCACAGGAGTGTAGACAAACCATTCTACAATGTATACTAAATGATGCACTTCCAACCTCGCATGATAGATCTCTTCTGGTAAAATTGAATAAGGATTATGCACATCCGAACACGCCATAACAGATCCGCCATGACGAACACGAAAATAGAAAACCTGCATTGCAGAACAATATGAATGTGCTCCTGAGTTGAAGATATATGCAGCACCATCAATGCAACTCATGAATTTCATCCCAAGGAGAAAAACACAATCAAGTGTTGAAAATTTTCTGAGCGAACATAACAGCGAAAACAAATTAAAGCAGATAGTAGAGTCGGGCGGCTCCGGTAAGGGAGGCGGTTTGGAGAGCCATCGCAGAAATTGCTTTTCCGCAACAATGTCACCATTATTGCAATTCCCGTTGGATAAGATGAAGCCCAAACAAAAGACGAAACCGATACATAGTGTCGTGCAAGGGTCCACAACCCTATCCTCCTCAAGATCTGAACAATCGGTGGTTCCCAAAAAGTTTATCGGCCCCACTCGAGGAGATTCATCAATGATCGTGTCCAATTTGTTCGGGAGATCACAAATCAATTTTATGGCACTGGACTGTCTTCTCCCAATAGAGGGAACTAAGGGTAGATGATGCAAAGGTAGATCATGCAGAGAGGGATTAAATGTAAGATCCTTGTGAAGGTGGGTTTCACATTTCACGAATCGGTGACGCCTCACCAAGAATCCACGAAATATCCTTTGAATCCTAGTAGCAGCTATATCTTCCAGAAGATTAGAACAATGAGCCAAATTATCCCTAAACTGATTGAAATCAGCTCGCATCTCCGCTCGAGCTCTTGCAAAATCAACTCGCATCTCGGCCCAAGCCCTTGCAAAGTCAGCACACGATTTGGTAAGGGATCGGTCGAATGCATGAAGTGCGATAGTGATATCATCCCAGCGTGATGTAACGGTAGGTGAGATTGAAAGGTGAGATTGGGGATCAATGATTTGTTGTGGAAGAGGATGAATGCTACTTCTAGGTGTGGAGGAAGAGTAGCTCAATGAAAGCACCATTGTAGCGGATGCTACAGAAGAAGAATTATGCAGAAAAGGAAAAGAGGAGGAGAGGAGAGGATTGAGAGAGAGAATAGAGATTTGCCAAACTTTTCTGATATCCTTTTCATTACCACTACTTCACTTATATATCCAAGTTGGTTACAACAAAATAGTTAACCACAATTATAAAAAGGAACTAACATACTGTAGTAACATATAAAGGAAAATTATAATAACAGAAATACTAAAGCAACTAAACTATAAGACTGGTACTGATGCTCTTTTGGTTGGATTATGTGTTGCTACATCTATGTTCCCACATATACCTTATATTTATATTAGGGTCCTATTAGACTTGTCTGGCATGAATTGTATTCTTGTATATCTTGTCATCTTAATTTCATGATCAATGAAACATTACTTGACATAATTTTCTTGAACACAACTAATCGATTCCTTGTAAACTTGACTTGATCTTTTGAACACTTGCTTAATTTTCTTGTTTGACCTAATTTGATATTGAGGGTTGTTATAAGTCCCACATTGATTGCCTATACAACTGTTGTGGGGGTTTATAAGGCCTTAAGTCCTCCCACCTTTTGAGTTAGCTTTTGGGGTGGTGATCTCGAAGGCATCCTACAACTAATGTGGTAGTCCTTTCCCTTTTGGCAGCTTCACTCACCCATCAATATTCAGGACAACACCCATTTGAGAGGTATGACACCTTAATCCAGCCTATAGGTAGCCCTTTCTGTGGCCTCAACTCTCAACGAAAGTACCATGTGTTACGAACCTTGAGGTCACCACCTCAAAAGCTAGCTCAAAGGGTAGGATTGTCCAAGGTCTTGTAAACTCCACATTAGTTGTATAGGAAATCAATGTGTGACTTGTAACATAAAATGAAAAAATTTAAGTGTATTATTTCTTTTCTATATTTAATAAAAGATACACTGAATATTACCGGAGTAGTGAAGATATTTTTCAATTGTAGAGCATTCAATATCTTTTTGTAAAAAACATTTCACACATTATAAATCTTAGTGAAATGAATTTATATAGCTTTTTTTAATACAATTTCATTTTATTTGGTTTGTTCCACCTTTTCAACCAAATAGTATATATATGGCTTTAATGTTTATATAGTAAATGCAGATAAGTATCTTACCAATATTTGTATCAAATAAATATACTTTCCAATTTCATTTTACCAATATTTGTATCAAATAAATATACTTTCAAATTTCTTTTACACATAGAAACACCAACAATTTATGTGACAAAAATAAATGGATCAAATATATGTTTTATGGGTAAATCTACTATCATGTAACATAATCTAAAGCATTTTTCCTACTCAAACAAAAATTATGCGGGTCCCATACATATAATAAAAACAAAAAATAAAAAATACTAGTGCAAAAACCAATGGGTGAGTAGGTAAAAAAATTTAATCATGTTACATAATATTAGTTTTTCCCATATTTTATTTGTAACACCTCTACTGCACAAGGATGTTCCCATGCGGTGGTCGCAAGGAAATTGTGTCAATTGAAAAAAAAGCAAAAGAAAAAATAGTGTCAATTCTATATATAAGTTGTAAATAATTAATTCAATCCAAAAATTTAAATGATTGAGTGAGGTTATATTAATAATTTTATATTTATTTAAATTTAAGATATTTATGAAAGTTAATAATTATTTAATAAAATATTTTTTCCCCTTTCCTTAAGAATCAATTTAAGTGGAAATAAATTATGATGGGTTTGGAGGAAAATGGTTACGACATGTCGCTCTATTCAACTGTTTAAAACAATTTCAAAGTATATGATTTGTTTCTGTTTAATTTTAACCTACAAAAAAAAAAAAAAGTATATGATTTGATTTTCCTTCTCTTCCTAATTTAAGAGGTCTTGTCTTGTTACTTTTACTGGGAACAATGGTGGAAATAAACTAGACTTTGCTTAAAGAAGTCTAGTTATGTTTTCAAAGTAAACTTTTACTGATTAAATACTTTTCGGGACTGACTTAACTTTGCTGTAAAAACATACTAATTGAGGAATAGGTTAAAATTTAAACTTTTAAACCACTATAGCTGTCCTAGTGGTGAGAGGGCTATGTTCTATTTTTCAACAAATGCAAAAAAAATTTAAACTTTTTTAATTTTTAACTTATTATAACATTTAATAAAAATATTATATTTTATATGAAATTAATAAATTATATTATCTATATTAAATTAGGCTAAATATTTTCCTGTAAAATTTTAATCTCCTACCATACTCACACTCACACGGTGGGTTCCATTATACTTAAAAAAAAAGTTATGTGCGAGGAACACAAGAAAATCATTTGCCATTAAATTAAATTAAAAGATTAATATTTTTCGTATAATAAGAAATAAAATTATCTAATGCAATCTAAATTGATATCTCTTGGATATTTTAGTAAAATTCATAATATAAAAATAAAGTAAATTTTTTTAAATACCATGTATTTTTTTTTTTAAATCTTAAAACAACATCTTAGGGTTGATTTTATCTTTTTGGGTTATTTTTTTCTCATCCAACATAAAATAAACCAAATTTCTATACATACATTACTAAGATAGGTCCATTTTTGTTTTCTCTCTCTCATTGTTTGTGGATTCTTCTTATAATTTTGTTTCACTAGGATAACTCATCTCTAATAATATAAGAAAAAAAGTTTCCTATTTTTTGTAGGAGAAATATTTTTTTCTTAAATTAATCTATAATTAACAAATATCCTAATCCTTAATTTTTCACTATGTATTTAACTAAAAAATAAAATCAACATAATGTACTAAATAAACGCTTTTTAAAAGCCTTGTTTAGTTAAATAGTTTAGCCAAGTTTTAGGGTTTTTCAACTTTGCCGTTCGAAAGGGGTTTTTCAGTTTTTGTTTTTGGAACTGCAGCCGATTCACCAAGGAGTGTGTTCCTGTTCGTAGCATCAACTCTGCGTCTTCAATCAGGTTATTGTTCTGAATCCATGGCTTGAATCGTTTCATCTCTTTGTTCAAAAGCTAAATCCTGCATGTTTACGTGGCCTAGCTATAATGGGGAAAACCGGTGGTCACAAGGTGCTGAAGGGAAGCCAGAGCTTCAGGCAAAGGTTGCTTCTCTCCACGCTTTCTTCCACTCCCATTCTCATCGAGGATATACGCGCCGATGAGACTTCTGAACCTGGTCTTCGCAAGCACGAGATTTCACTCCTCCGGTTGTTCGAGACTGTTTGCGATGATTGTGTTGTCAAAATCAACGAAACTGGTAAATCTTTGTTTATTAATCAAGTTTAGTTGTCAAATTAGGGTTTCATTGTCATTGGTATGGGCTGAACAGGTACCAAGGTAAAGTACAAACCAGGAACTATTGTAGGTGGCAGACAACACTCTTCACACGACTGTGGTCTCACTCGATCCATTGGTTATTTTTTGGAGCCACTCATCATACTTGGTTTGTTTGCAAAACAACCTCTCACCATTAGCCTCAAAGGTATTATTATCATTCCAATTTACTATTTGTTCTTTAATGAGGACATTAGAAAAAAAATGACAAAGAAAGTGTATAAGAGTTTTAAAGCTAGAATAGAAGGACCATTTAGAAGATATCTTAATGATTTAAAGAGTTGATTTTATTGTTATCAGGAATCACTAATGATTTTAAGGATCCGTCAGTTGATGCCTTCAAATCTACTGCTTTGCCTATATTAAAGCGTTTTGGGGTTCCCTCCGAAGGCTTGGATATTAAAGTAGTAAGTCGTGGACTACCTCCAAATGGTGGTGGCGAAGTTATTTTGTCGCTTCCTATTGTTCAAAATTTAACGGTGAGTTTCTGAAATTTTGATCTTTTGTTTGAGTTTATTTTGTTATCTTATAAGTTTGTTCTTCCTAGCAGGCAGTTAATTGGATTGATGAGGGATTTGTTAAGAGGATTAGGGGAATAACATTTTCGGTCCGAGTGTCTGTTCAGTTTGAAAATAGCATGATCAAAGCTGTGCGTGGAATAGTCAATCCGTTTCTTTCAGATGTGCACATTTTTTCTGATCACAGATCAGGTCCACAGGCTGGAAAGTATGATTCATTTGATGGAATGTTTAATTTGAATTTTGGAAATATATTTGGTAGAAATTAGGAAAATCATTTTATTGCATGAAAAAATAATTTATTTTTGTTTAATTGGTTATTTGTTGGCGCAGCTCTCCTGGATTTGGAATTTCGCTGGTTGCGGAGACTACTACTGGTTGCTTCATCTCTGCAGATACTGCTGTTTCTCATGTCAGTGGTAAAGATACTTCTGGCCTTGCGGATGATGTTAAAAAAAGTCTGATGCCTCCGGATGAAGTTGGTATGGGAATTGCTAATGTTTTAATACGGGAGATAACTCAATGTGGAGTGGTAGATTCAACACATCAGGTTAGTGTGTCAGCAATTTCAGCCTGCTTTAATTTTTTTATTTTATTTTACCAAATATAGATACTGGAATGAAATAGATAGAAATATGGAGGTAAACTCCTTAAAAACCATGATCGCATGTTGTACTAAACAGATAGAAAACAGAGGTAGACTTCTTACGGTTAAAAGCCATGATCTGATAGAAAGAAAAAAAAAAAAAAAGGAAAAAGAAATGAAGTAGAAAACTAGAAATGCACTCTCCCATGCCCTGAGATCACTCTTTTCTCTACACAATTTTCATTTGACTGCTACCTGTCCAATTGTGACAGTTCAGTTCATTCTCATCAATGATACCTTCTTTTGCCATGTCAACAAAATTTGCTTGATATTACCCTCTCTGCCCTTTCTACTATCCAACCATATCTTTTGCAAATTTCTCCTTTTATTGGAGGCTAATGAATGTTCTGATTTTGTGTTGTTTTGAGTTTTTCTGACTGCCAACTGCCCACATGTATTGAACTTAGTAGGCACGGCATAAATGCTATTCTTTGTTGCTGAAATCACTAGCTACTTTAATTTTATTTTTTCACATGGGGTTTTGAAGGAGTTTGCAGATAATGAAATTTGCCTCCATTTGCTGGAATTGAGAATTCTCCTAATACTTTTTTTTTTCTTTCTGGTTTATAGGGTTTGTTATTTCTTCTTTGCGCTCTATGTCCCCAAGATGTTTCCAAAGTTCGTGTTGGAAAACTTTCACAGCATGGGGTTGAAACTCTCAAAAACATCAGAGATTTTCTGAATTTGAAGTTTATCATCAAACCAGATCTGAATTCACAGTCAGTTTTTCTCAAGTGTATTGGTTATGGCATGAAGAACCTTTCTCGAAAGGTCTCGTGAAGCATGGTTGACTGTATTGTGTCATTGGACTAATTTACTGTGCCTTGAATTGCTGCGGTCTTTATTGAATATAAATACGAGTTTGACGAGTTTGCCAATTGGTTTATACATTATAAGATAATTCTGAAGTTTGACAAGTGTTAAAACTACTAATTTTTTTTTTCATCATCTTGTTATATATTGTTGTATAGACTATTTAATGATAAAATATTAAATGTGAGTGTGAGAAAGTGTACGTGGCACTGCAGGCAAAGACGCTGTAAATGTTTTGCTTTTGGATCTAGCAGTGAATATAAATGGCCAGGATCTTATTTTTGTGCTTCAGAATCGTAACTGATGTTGAGGACTGATCAATATATACTATCATAAGTTAGTTTATGCCTTGTTGATGCTTTTAGGTTCGACTTTTTAGGTTACTATGTTCTGTTATAACTGATTATACATCTTAATGCAATTATATATAGAGGTGTTTGCAGAAGTGAAGTGAAGGACCTTGATCAGAAAATTATTTCTGCTCAGTTAGTGCCAACAACACTGATCATAATAGGAAACGTTGTCGTTCTATCACCATTTTGGCCAATTTCTACAAAAGATGACACGGTTTAAAGAGTTGAACCAGTTATTTGGAATTTGACAATTCTAGGACAACCAGAGTAAGTTTTGGTGTTGTTTAACATAGTTGCTGACCATGAGCGACTGAATTCTGAAGCCAATCTCATATCATATTTCATAGGAAATTTGTCCCGGATAGCATCCCAATCCTACCTTACGAATAAAATGATAAGCTTCCAATCCAAATAGCATCGAACAAGGCGTGGGATTTACCTGCCAAATGTTGTCATCCTCACCAATCTGAACATAATAGATATTGGGATTTTTGTGATGAGAAAATTGCAAGTGAATATTACACCTTAATTATTAAAAAACAAACGACACAAGGGAAACATAGAATGGTAACAAGTGGAGTGGTCCTACCTAATTTCTTGTTATTTGCAGCCATGAACCCCACACACAATGACATCCTGTTTAATTTATTTATTGAACAGCAACAATTCAATACGTTTCATCTTATGAGAGTTACCATTAGATTATTTACAATATTTTTCTCCTTTACTAATATTTTAAAACTCTCCTAATCATGTTCCGATCCTTATAATTTGGAACTTGAGTAAAATTCCTACAGCCGAATTAAGTGGTAGTAGCTTAAGGTGATCTTATAATATAAAGTAACTAAATACAAAACTGAAAATTGAACACAGATATGTACAAGACTTCATAATGTACTAAAAAGAATTACACATAACAAAGAGGATCATGTATCCTATACAGACTTTATAATTTGTCTAAAGAATCAAAGAATGGTCTACTGTGTATTACTTTAATATATCACTGACTGATGGAAATCTACATTGCTTCACATAGTCACATACACATTAAAGGAGAGACGTGGTTGACACTATAGCTCTCTTCAAAAATGGTGCTCTTAAGAACAGTTGTTGCCCTGAAAGTCACCTCAAGTAAGTTCCCAAGGGATAAAAATCGTTTGTGCATCCATTTCCATGTAATCTTCATACCAGAAGCTTTGGTATTAAATTTACAATAAGGAATGATAATGTGAGTCATTGCACATGCACTCAGGGACAGGATATTTGGTAACATCCCTCACACTCTTGCTAGTCCTGAGTTCTGGCTGCCCCAATGAATCCTCATGCAATTCCATGATAATCCTGTTGAACTCTGCTTCAGGGAGGGAAGAATTCAGAAAATAAGGGAGCATGTGTCGTTTGTTTGGGGTTATATATTTCTTGTGCCCTGCATAAGCCCGGTGACCCTGAAATAACATTTACTTTCAGAAATTAGAAATTGTCACCTAAAGACTCTAGATTAAGTATATATGCATGATTATCATATAATTATGCAAACAGCCATCTAAATGAGTTTCTTTAAATTGCAGAGAATTACTTATGTTCATACCTGAATTGCATGGCCCATATTTCCTCCATGAGATGGCATGAAAACATCACTCTTCTCAGAGACAATGTAATCTATGGCAGCCATTAGAGAAGCTTTCTTTGCAAATGGTTCTAGTTCTCCATGCAAGGCAAGATCTTCCTTATTGTAAAGATGTGGAAACTCATTGATTAATGGATGCAAGGCCTCTTTTCCACCCAATGGTTGTCCTCCAGCCCAATAAATTTTTGCATTTTTTGGAGCTCCTAGAGCTTTAAGCAACCTATATATGAAATTAAAAAAGAGAAAATCAATTAGAAAAGCATGTCACACTAATACTAAGAAGACCCCTTAAACCTATTCAAAAATAGAAGGATTATATTTACCTGGTAACCTCCATAGCATTCAAGGGGCACAGGCCAGCCATTTTTCTTTCATGGTAAGTCATGCTTGATCTTGCTGTTAAGAGCTCTGGCCGTTGTATCCTCTCACTATTTACAATTTCATCATACTCAGGAGTCAGACCAGGTAGACAACCAGTCCTCACCCACACATCCTTTTCCATTCTTAGATGAAGAGCAAGGTAAGGTCCCTTGCTTTTCATTCTATCTGCAATTTTGTTACCAAGTTCCTGAACTGGCTTTGCAAACCTTAATGCATTAAAAGCAACCTGAAAGATAGGTGAGAACACTTAGAATCTACTATTAATTGTCACATAAATGAAGTTCCAAGGGGTGAGTGTTAATGTTTTCTTTTTTTCTTTTCTTTTTTTGCAATACCTTGCAACGAAGCTTCTGAAGATCAGAAGGAAGATCCTTCGACAGCCTTGAATCCAAACCACGTAAAAGCAAAACGCCTTCTCTGTTGAACTGCACAGGACAAGAAGAATCATGTTAAACATTGCAAGTCAAAGCTTTCCTTAGTTAACATTGCAGAATTGATACAAGTTAACACATTGACAACATAACGGATTACAGTCAATAAATTGATATGGAGGGCTCTAATTATTTGTGTAGAACACAGAACTCTTATTATGGTATTGTTAATCTTTATGTCATCCATGAAATGATCATTTGTGAAATTAACACAGAACTATACAAACGCTATAGGCAACATTTTAGGACTCAACCTGGAGAAGCTAAAGCCTATTAAGTACAACTTAGTGTATGCTCACAGGAACAAAACACAAGAACAGAAATGAACTCTTACTCTTTTGAGATAGCGTGAACGGATCCAACTTGGAGTGACATGAAGAGGAGGGCTTCCCTCCACTGGCCTTGTCATCAGGTGCGTTGATGGCAATGCTGAAACCACTCGTACATCATTGGCAAGAACATTCTTGAAGTGCTCCAAATCAAATATATCAGCAAATTCACTGAAAACACACCAATAAGAAAAGAAATTTAACTAACATTAACAATTGGAAAGTACCAAGAAGCAGATTTTGCGTTTATGCAGAAACTAAACCTATGCTTATGCTTCGGCTCCATTGGTGGTCTTTATGAAGATTTAGTCCAAATTTATAACATTTAATTCATAATCAACCAAACCCAACTCTTCATTTCTTAAAATGATGCAACATGAAAAATCATCACAGATTATGAACAACAAAATTTTTTACCTTTCATCTCCCCAAATGACGTTGACTTGCAATATAGGGACAACCAAAGAAGCCCCAAGAATTCTAGCAATGACAACAGCATCAACAATCTGATTCCTCTGTTGGTTCATCCCTCCAGAAACCACTACCATAAGGTACTTTCTTCTGTTTTTCACTATCCCTTCACTTGCTCTTCTATAATCCCTGCTGAAATCCAAACAAGGCTTGTACCCCAACCCATCTGGTTGCATCCAAAACTCACTCTTTTGAACTTCATCATCCTTGTCCCGAACCTCCTTTTCCACTGCACGAGGACCCTGTGCTTGTAATTGCACATTGGCAATCAGAGGCTGTGACATAGTAGCACCATTCAAAACTTCATCTTTCAGTGAGGCAACCCCAAGTTTGGATTTTGAATGCCCATTTGAGATTGAAAGTTGTGGGAAGGTTGTGGCACATGGGTATGGAGATAATGGGATTTCCATATTGAAGCCAAACTTGAGCATGCCAAAGAAACAAAGGATAAAGAGAGTGGAAAAAAAGAGTCTTGGGTTCTTGAAGTTGGAGAAAGTGAAATACTTGGAGTTTCTTGCAGATTTCTTGGGTGATTCAAGCAGAGATTGAAGAGAAGAAGATGATATTGAATTGATAATCTGTGAAGGAACTGAGATGTATGACAACTTCTTTGCATTATTTTTGGACTTTGCCATTGTGTTGTTGAGCTGCAGAATCTAGAATGAGAACCTAATTTCTGCTGCTGCTTCTTGTGTTGATGGTTTTTATAAGAAAGAACCTTCTTGGGGTTGTGTCAATGGTTATTTCTAGAAAGAGAAATAATGGTAGAGAGAGAAGGGGCGGCGGGAACAGCAAGCCATGTATGACTAGTCTACGCGTCAATCGTAAAGGAAGTGCGGTTTGAAAATATTGTCAGTAACACGGATACTCAGTACATTTTTATTAAATATTTAAAAATTAATATTTTTATATTATTTTTTTATTTTTTTTTTATAATTAATTTTTTTCATATCCTTATTTTTTCCTCTTTTTAATAAAGAAGTACTTACTCGTATTATGCGGAAAATTAGAGGCGTTAACAAGTTGAACTTTGTTCGTTACAGAATTAAATTTGTGTTTAAATGTGTCAGCATGACTAAATCTGTTATATGTTATAAATATAATTATCGGTTTGTGGCCTGAGTTATTTACAAAAAATAAAAACATGATTTAGCTTGTTAGCCTGTTTAAAAAAAATAAGATAACAAAAATCTATCCAAACAGAATATACAATTAACAACGCTAGTAATTTTATAAATATTCATAAATTCAATGTATATCCAAACAGCATAATATAGAACAAAATCATGCAAAAAATCTGCTTAACCAATAAAATGGGGTTAAATAGATTGAGGAGAAAAAGAGAGCTATTACAAGTAGTATAAAAAATATATATAAAATAAATATACTAGGTCAGCTTGAGAGACTCTAAGATCGAGTTATTGAATTGAAGTCTGATGCCTTTTAATTAAACGAGTTTTTATACAAGTTCAAACTTGATGTCAATAATCAATTTTAAACATATAAATTCAGATTTTCACGAGCCGAGTAAAAAACTTCTGAAAGGCTCCTGATTGATTTAGCATCCCTGCGAAAAATAAAGTCTTGCGGTTTTGAGTTTGGGGAAACAAGTTTTGTTTTGTGTGTTTGTTTTAAGCATATGCCTATTGGCTACTCGTTTTCTAATCGCCGTTTCTTTAATATTTTGTTTAAATTTTTTTTTGGGGGTGTTGAAATGTCTGTGTCTCCTCTTGTGTAAATAAATTTTGCAGTTTAGATGGATTATGATATGTTTGCTACTTGTTAGGGACCTTAAACTATTTCCTTTTTCTTGACTCATTCATCATCAATTAATGATAAGTGTCTCATTATATATATAGGAAGTGTTTCGATGGTTTTTTTTTTTTTTTCTCTCTTTCTCTCCTTATAGGATTCCATTCATTTTCATACATTATAGGAGATAATTTGTAAGAGAAACATTAAATTTATATAAACATATACAATTGTGAAGAGTTTAATATTTCTCTCTTAAATGGTAGGTGGCCAAGAATTAGGATTCGTAGTTCTCTTTTGTTAGGCGAAAATTACTTAATTAGAAGACTTGACGTAGGCCCTCATTTTAATGACGATTAGGATTATATTCCTAATTTGAGTCTTTAAAATTTGCCCAAATCCATTGTTGAATTCGGAAACTTTCATAATTATAAAAAAGGTTTTATAATTCTCATGTTAAAGGAGAATTGAAATTTTATATTGTAGAGATAAGAAGCATGTGAGACTCATGTGTTAGAAAAAATTATACGTAGGATCCGTGTAAGCACGAAAATCGAAGGATGTGTAGGAAAATTATAATTCTCATATTAAATGAGAATTATAAAACTCTTATTAAAACTTCCATAATATAAAAGCTTTCATAATTCGCCTACCACATCATTATTTTCTTACTTAAATTCGTAATTTAAATATTAGGCTTGTTGCAAGAAGTTTTATTCAATTTCAATTTTGGATATATTTTTTTTTTTCTCTTTTCGTATAGCCTCATCCGCTTTCGTACGTGCGGAGAAGATAAAATTTTATTCTGTCTACAGAAAATTTATTTATAGACAAACATTACGACACATCCGTGAGTAGTAAACAGGTACAACTCATGGTATTGGTAAAGGTAGAATGGTAAACGTGGAGAAAACAATTTGAATTTTGAAGCACACGGTAAATAGTATTCTTGGAGTGTGAAAAAAGAAAGGAAAAAGATGAAAGATGCACGATGGAATATTGGGATAAGCAACGATACCCTACTCCACAGTCTATACTTTTATTTAGTACAAGTGCTTATTGTCGTTATTATAATATATAGACATCATGGTAAGGTCCAGGGTGTCAGCGATGAATAAACAGATGTATACAATAAAGAGCGATAGCATTAAGTCATTAACCCAATATGTAGCTTAGTTGGTAAGCCGATTTTAGTTCAAAAGTCAAGTCTTGTGACTCATGGAATTATAGATTGATTCCTACAAAAAGTATTTTGAAGGCCAGTGCTTTTTTTATTTTACTACAAAAAAAAATATTTTTTGCAATTGATTTTTAGTGTATATTTTCGAAAATACATAATAAAAATATGATTTTTTTTTCATTTTCTCTATATCAGCAGATAACTTTTGAGAAAAGAAATTTTTTTTATAACTTTAATATTTTCACTATATACTTCTAAAAATACATAATAAAAATCAGTTACACGAGATAATTTTTTTTACAATAACATAAGAGATAGATTTTTCTAAAAATTATACTTCAAATCACAAAAGAAAATTAGAGCCCGTTTGTTTAAACTTTTTAAAAAAGTAATTTTTATCTCTTCGTTATTTTAAAAGTGTTTTTTATAAAAGTTAAAGTTATTTATATTTTTATAAAAATATTTAGTTTTAAAAAAAAAATATTTAGCTTTTGACTTCTGCTTTTTTTAGAAGTTAAAATTTTTAGCTTCTGAAAAAAATAAGTTTTTGACTTTTTTTATGATTTCTATTCTTTTTAAAAGCAGACATCCAAACGAATTAAAAACGAGAAGTGTTTTTTTACTTAAAAAAACAGATTTTGAAGAAAAAAAGTTTATCCAAACAAGCCCTTAATCTCATTCAGATGAAAATTTCGAGTTTATTTAAAAACAAAAAACAAAAGATAGCATTTATGGCTTCAGCCTTTCCATTACTCTTTCTTGTGACACACTATCCGTTTTGCATTTTTTAAGCGAGAGATTTAAAAGTATTTTTAGTATAAAATAAAGTATAATCTATTATGGTCATTTTAATCACAAAATAGAATAAATTTCAACATAACTCAACAGATGCTATAATTAATTATTATGGAATTTTCGAAAAATTTTATATATATCTTCCTTCATTAAGATAATCTTATTACATGTATGGATTTGAGTTATTTCAATTTTAATTTAATTAATGTTATATTTGAAATATTGTTTGACATCGGAACCTGAAATTCTTAAAAGATTATGCTCTGCTTCAGCGCCCACTTGCCAGCTGGATCCTGTCAATACCGTGCTGGTTATGTCAGTTGTATGGAAGATGACACATCAACAAGTGCCACGTCTGCATGCTGTATTTTAATCAAATACGACACCAATAATTTTGTTAAAATAAGTGGCATGTGAGCATGTCCATCAATATAATATATATATATATATGGATTTTATTAGTGTTATGTTACATGATTTAAGTGTTGTTTTCAACACATACACAAAAATGGAGAGAGAAAGTGGAATGATAAAAGAGAAAGAAAAACATGTGAGCCCACTTCTTTAATGTGTGTGTAAAAAATTGATGTTATATCATGTTACATGATAAACATAAAACCCCATATATATATATATTCACCAACCATTACTACCATTAGTCTATTAGAATCGGAACAATGACACGCTAGAATCTAGCTCAATTAGTAATATTTTGCAGGCAATTGATTTATTGGTTCAAACTCATTCAACAGTTCACTGTATTGTATTAAAAAGTAAACACAAATTGTATCAGGAAGAGTCTCTCGTCGTCTCTTTTTTAAGTTAAAAATTATTTATAAGTTAAAGTTAAAAAAAGCACTTAAAAAAAGAAATTAAAAGCTATTTGGTAATTATATAAAATTTATAGCTTAAAAACATATATTTCAAAAAAAAAATTCCTTCTCTTTATTTCTAAAACTTTTTATTTAAAAAAAAAGTACACAATTCAAAAGAAATTGATAAGAACTTAAAAAAAAGCTTCTTCTATGAATTTTTGGCTATCAATTTTTTTTTTCATTATAAAAAATAAATCTTTTCTCAAAATTTATTTGACCTAACTTCTACTTAAAGAAAAAAAATTCAAACACTAATTAATTAGACGTTATGATGCCAAAACTCACCCCAAATAATACTCGCATTTCTAATTGACCGATTTTTACGAGATATTGTTGAAACATGCACATAAGTGCATTGAAAGTAACTTTATATTTCCCTTGTATTTTAATGAAATAATTTTTTGTTGTATTTGTAAAACGCTATTAACGAATTTGATCAGAGTGAGTTTGTAAAAGCCCTCCCTAAATTTTAGTTTTTTTTATTATATTTATAAAATGATGTTTGTCTAATAATATAATAGCCTATTAATGCTAATAGTTAACCCCTCCTTAAGGGAGCGTTTGGTTCAGGAATTTTTTTGGAATAGTAGAGAAATGAGATAGATAGAGAAATGATTGAAAAGATAGACAAAGTGAGATAGGTAGAAAAATGTAAAAAAAAGTTGTTTGGTGGGGAAAAACTTTACTGGGAAAATTAGGTAACTTTATGAAATCAACAGTGCATTAAAAGCCAGATAACCGGTTTTCCGAAAAATCCCACCTTCAAATTGGGTTCTAAACAGTGCGGATATCTATGTTTCTCATAAATCCAGACAAATTGGATAGATGGGTTTTTGGTGAAAAACGTTGAAACAAACATGATATTTCTAAAAGTCATACTTGAGAAAGATAGATATCCGCTGAAAAGCTCCCAACCAAACACTACCTAAGGTAGTGTTTGTTTGATGGATTCTCAAAATTTCCCCATCTAAGTGCATGTGGCAATCCTTATTTTCCTTGTTTGGTTGAAAGATTTTATAACTTTTATTCATCAAACACATTTGTCTATCTAAGTA